GGGCAAGATAACATAAGATACAAGAGAATAATCTTAGTTACATAGTTCCTTTTTTGGCGGGGGAGAGGGTACATACAGTGATTACTTTTAGATTTTACAAATGCATTTTTGGTAACCACTAAAAACAATAATTGATTTCACAGTTTCAGTTACAAAAACATGAAGGAGTAAATGGGATTATAAAAACTGAATCCAAAAGAAATCAGAAGGGGAAAGGGAGGCAGAGAAAAGTCAGGACAAATACAGAACAGAAAATAAAGGAGTAGAAATAATTCAAAATATATCAGTAATCACAGTAAATATAAATGGACAGAGCCAAGCAATTGAAAGAGAAAGACTGGCAAACAAAGAGAGAAATCTAGCTATTTCCTGGTCATAATGTGAAGGAAAAACCGGGCTGGTCTGAAACATGGTTAAAATATAAATACACAGTAATTTTTAAAAGGATGTAAAAAGATCCATCTATATGATACAGATATTGACTAAAAGAGGTCTGGGCTAGCCGTTTTAATAACAGACAGAAAAATGTAAGGCATTATTTAAAACAAATGTATTTGTTACCTTAGTATTAAAAGATTTAACTTACCACAAAAATTGCAATTCTAAACTTGTGTGGAAAATTTTAAACAAAAATTGACAGAATTACAAAGAGAAATAGATAAATTCTCTATCATGATGAAATATTTTAAGACAGTAACCCAGACCAAAAAAATATGAATGAGGAGGAAGATAAAATTTGAATAGCATAATAAAATGATCTAATAGGCTCAACAGTTAAAGAATGCATGATCTCAATCATGCATGTAGTTATTAAATGTACCAACAGTAGCTTTAAAGCAAAGTTCAGCAAACTTTAAAGAATTCATATCATGCATTTCATGTTCTCTGACTATAGTACAGTTAGTTAAAACAGGATTAGTCAAAATAGCCTATATATTTGGAAACATAAAATCACACTTGTAAATACTAGTACAAAAAAAGAAATCATAATAGAAATACTGAAATATTTAGAATGGAATCATAATGAAAATCAGAAAAGGATGTAGCTAAAGTGGTTCTTAGAGGTAAATGTTAACATTAGAAATAGAGAAGCTGAATAAAAAAGAATGAAATTTTGCCATTTCCAGCAACATTGGTGGACTTGGAGGGCAATATGCTAAGTCAAATAAATCAGACGCAGACAGATACTGTATGATACCACTTATATGTGGAATTTTAAAAATACAACAGACTAGTGAATATAACGAAAAA